GGGGGGGATGGGCAAGTTCAGAGCCTCGTGTCCTTTTATGTCGACACTCTTTATCTCAATGCTGACCTTCTTCTCCGCATTCTTGTGGGTGGTTGGCGGGTGCTCTGCTGGTGTGGTTCGCTCCTTCTTTCCTTTCCTATCAAACACGTGTCGTTCTTATCTCTCCTCCTTTTTTTATATCTGGTACTCTCTTGTAACACTCTCCCTTTTCATTTCATTGTATGTCACTCTCTAGCAACTCATCTAAGTGGGCTCTCGTGGCCTGGAGGTAAAGGTGTTGGCCACTCATTCAATAGGTCCAGGGTACGAATCCGGACAGCGACAGAAATTTTTTCCTCTAAAATTGTTTCCTTTCACCTCCTTTCTGCTCTTTAGCAATGTTCTGTCGTCTGCTTTCGCCTTCACTTTCTTCCCCCACCCCCTCACCTCGTTTGCCTCCTACTCTGGGCTCCTGACTCTTCCTGTAGCCTTTCTACTGCTACGCCTTGACTCCTTCTTACTTCTGTCATTCAGCCACACCCCTGATCTTCTGGTTGGAAAGCTCTACGCCTGGCCTTCTCGGACAAGGGCGAAAGATCTCGGAGGTCCCGTGTGCAAGTTGCACGCGTTAAAGATCCCCTGGTGGTCCAAAATCGATATAAATAGGCTTCGTCCGCCCCCCGGGAAAAATTCAAAAGTTCCTTCCCACTGAAAATGTTTAATGTGTCCCGCACGCTCATATGACCTTACGCAGTTGCGAGCACCGTAAAGCACTTACCCCCCCCCCAAAAAAAAAACAACAAAACAACAACAACAAAACAACAACAACAACAAACAAACAAAAAAACAACAACACCAAACCCAAACAACAACAACAACAACAACAACAAAAAAAAAACACCTCCTTTCCCTCTGTTTCTTTCCGCACCTCAGTGTTCTTCTCTACCGTCGAGTTTTAGGCGCTGTAAAAAAAACAACCTAAACCCACACACACACTCACTCTCTCTCTCTCTCTCTCTCTCTCTCTCTCTCTCTCTCTCTCTCTCTCTCTCTCTCTCTCTCTCTCTCTCTCTCTCTCTTTTAAATCTCTCTTTATCTCTCTCTCTTTCTTTCTCTCTCTCTCTCGCACACACACACCAAAAAAAAAAAACAACCAAAAAAAAACCCCCACCCTCTAATCTTCGGCTCTAATCTGGCCTATTTGTGTTGTTTTGCAAGCGCCTTAAAACTCCTTACTTAAACTAAAACTGATTAGCCCTGAGAGGTCAGATGAAATAGCTGGGTCTCTGAATGATGTAAATTGTAACGATTGTAGTCGTTAAACATTTACATCAAAATCTAAGACGAATTGATTTGGCTGCGAATAGGCACTGTTATTCTAATCTGTGCTATCTCTGTCTACCGGTTATAATATGGGTCGATCACTCCCACAATTTTGTTGATGGTTGGTGGATGCTCTTGTGTGCTTTGCTCCTTCTTTCCTATCAAACATAATATATCGTTCTTATCTCTCCTCCTTTTTTGGTATTTGATACTCTCTTGAGCTGGCCTACCATAGAAAACAGCATCTCCCCTCGACGCTTAATAGCAACGGAGGATATGAAAGTAAGTAAAAGAAAAGTGAGGTACTTTCTTGTAACACCTCTAATCTTCGGCACTTGTATGACCTTATTGTGTTGCAGGGGCCGTAACACTCTGACTAAAACTAACTGAAAAAAGTACCCACAACTTTGTGATTCCTATTTTTGATCCAGACGTTTTGGAAAAACGTTGTCGACGTGTTGATACGTTCCCTTTTGTTTTAAGTGATTCTTGGTGCGGACTATTCCCCCCTCCCCCTTTCCCCCCT